TAAAAATGCCGTTCTAGATTGCTAGATTGCTGGGGTTTCTTCCAGACCTTTTTGGTCTTTGTCAGTAAATGACTTAGCAACAATCCTTTCAGGAGGTTTTGCTATTCATGGGATTCTAATAAAGTACCATCCTTGAAAGAGGGAACATGGGTCCCATGCTGCTGCCCTCCTTTGCCAATAGAAATCCCAAAGAATGCAGTGATTTATTTAGAGCTTTCCTGTTTTTTTTCTTTCTTTCTTTTTAAGTTATTTTCTCTTTAGCTCCCTAATTTAAGTGAGAGATATTATGCCATCCTGCAGCTTCACTTTAGTATAATTTCACTGAGTGGCATAGAGTGCTCATCAGATCATGGGCAGATCTGTGAATACCAGGAAATTAAACATCTCTGTTTACATGGATGGCGAACAGTAGGAAAAATGGCCGTCAACTGATGGCACACTCTTTAGCAATTCTTATCTGAAGAAAATTGCTTCTCTTCCCTTAGCAGTAAAATGCAGGGGTTACTGCATTATACATAAGGATAGAAAACTGAAAAAAATTCCATCAAGAACCACAAATCAATAAATCTTGTGATCTCACTACTGGTGCTATAATTGAGCCAAATCGCCCTAAGCTGGGCAGGGTTCCTGAGTTTCTTTGAAGCACACTCACTGTTTCTTTGAGTAAAATTGAGGGCTGACCTTCATTTACAGGAACAGAGAGGCAAATCTCTTAAATACTAATATTCTGTACCAGGTTCCTCGGAGCAGGACCATTTCACTCAGGCTGGTGATGTTCAATTCATAATATAACTAAACAGAAAAAAGGTCTTGGCTGGTTATCCCAGCTTCCCCAGTGACCCATGTTACAAAAGTGAGCCATTCAGTGAAGGTTGTTGATTACCTTTTTTTTTTTAATCAGTTCTTAGAAGGCAAATACTTAGAAACTAGCAACTCCACACAAAGCACTGCTAAAATGATCTATAAACATGATTGGGCTCTTGTCTTTAAGAAGTTACTAGTTTTGTTATTTTGTTTTATATACATACATATCTTATACAGAGCTGGTTAATAGAAACAAATGAGTATTTAACACATTTCTTGATGTTAGAGATTAAAAACCAAAAAATTCATTGTTCAACAGGCCTTCATTACCCAGGTAGCACTCAGCTAAGCACTTTATATGTATTGTCACTTGTGATCCTCTCAACACCCAGTGAAGGAGTATTCTTACTATGCCCACTTCACAGATAAAGAAACTAAGACCAAGATAGGGTAGCCCAATGTTCATGGTTGTGCAGCTGAAAATTTGAGGAGTTGGGATTTAATCCCAGGTTGTTGGATTCCAGGGCCATGGAAGGGACCCTACAGTTACCTTGCTCAGTACCTTCCCTCACATGGGAACCAGTCAGTTCCTGCTGAAATGCAGAATCTCATCCACAGCGTCTCCACTAGTCCAGGCAGAGTTGGGAAGCCATATTTCAATTCCCTATCCCTATGTACTTAACAACTCTAAGAACATAGCAGAAACACAGGGATAAGATCCTCTGAGACAAGCCTGGTGAGGACCCTGGAGGATCAACTCAGCAACAATAGGTTATGTGACACAAGCAGAAAACACAGGAATGGTTAAGAAAAAGTCAGTGCAGTGCAGGACACTGGAAAGCAGGGCCTCGCTGAGGCTGAGTGGGCAGCCCAGAGGCCTTGTCTCTAGTGTGGCCCTGACCCAAAGTGCACACACAGCAGACAGCAGGCATGTAGCTAACTGCCATCAAGTTTATAGTTCTCTTCAAAATACAAAGATTGTTTTACAGTTAAAAACTTTGCTAAAACATTATCTAGAATTTAGAACAGTGCAGTGTTCAGAGACAAAAATGAAGCAATTCAGTCTTTCCTAATAGTCAAAAACACTGTTTTAAGAATTTAAAATACCAAGAAAATCAGGCCTTATTCCAGTCAGGCCTTGCTGCTGCTGCTGCGGTGATGGTGGTGGTGGTGGTGGTGGTGGTGGTGGTAGTGGTTGCCCCTTTTGGAAAACCAAACCACTTTAGTGGCCAGCAGGATTTAAGGAGACCCGTTGGAATTTCAGAGTCACATCTTTTATAATAGCAGAGTCCCTTAGAGTTAAGGGCTTAGACTGAACCTTATTATTTTCTTAGTTTCAAATAACAGTGAGTTCCCACATCTCATGAAGAAAAAAGATCACTGAGTTTGGGCAGGAAGGCTGGAGATGGTGAGAAGGTGTAGGCTTAACATTTGGTGTTTGGGAAGTGATGGCATTTGAGGAAATGGGAAGAGAATCAGAAGACCTAGGTTCAAGTTTTGCTTCCCTTTGTGCTAGCCTGTGCCCTTAGATGTGTTCCTAATACTCTCTAGTCTGAGTTCCTCATCTGTAAAATTGGAATGATTAGATTGGAAATAAAAAATATGTGCAATGGGGCGCCTTAAAGGACTGTAGAGGATAAAAAGCATTCTTGGTCCTCCCGACATGAGTTTTCTGCTTCACTATGTGGCATCTCTTCTGTTGACTCAGCCCTAGTTCTCCTTGAACACCCTGCAGATGAGTCAGAGCATGTATGCTGGCTGCTCATTTTGAGAGCTGGACCTGAGGAACCTTCCAAGTCTGCCTCTTCTAATTTCTCCCTGTGTTTCCCTTCATGGAAACATTAATTAATCCTCCCAAAGGGAATTGCAGTATTCTCTACTATGTGAAGTCACCAGATGATGCTATATCTCCCATTGGGAGTCTGAGGACTCTTCCAGCATCCATGGGTTGGTGCCCTGTGGCCTGATATCAACATGTCACGTTGATATCAGGCCACAGGGCACCAACTTCTGATTCTGCCCACAGCTCATTCTAACAGAGCTCCCTGGAACAGGGTGTCAGACACTGGCTTGAACTGACAAGTACAACTAAATATATTGTTGTTCTTAAAAACAACTGTGGAAGGCAAAGTAGGATTTGGAGCTGATCACATAATGCAATTCTGAGCAATAAACTAGTGATGATTTGATTCATGAATTTGTTGTTTCAGAGCACTTACCATCTTGAACAAAGAAAAATTCCTTTACAAATATGTGTGACAGAAACCACATCCGACAAAACTTTTAATCTTATATTATTCATAAAATCTTTATGAATTATAGGGTCTATGGCTTATAATATGCTGAATGACATCTTTAATATAATAACAAATTGACACATATTTCACAAAAAAAAGCCTTGCAGGAGAGATTTACTCAGCAGTATTGAGCGTGGGGTGAGGCTGGCCTGTTTACTTCGTGTGTGCAAGTCGGAAAGAGAGACAGGGGTTCAGGATTGTCAGCAGGAAAGGAAGGCCCATTATGGGTAGGCATTGGGATCCCCAAAACAGTGGGGAAGGAAAAGCGTAAAAAGGGGCCACCTTTGATCCTGTTTTGGATTTCTCTTTGACAAGTGAAATTCTAGTCCTAGCTTGAACAGATTGACTCTTAGTCTCCCATTGCTTTAGGAACATTGCTTTTTATAGTCTTAACAGTTGTCATTTGATATAAAAATCTTGGAAGAGGCTCCATTCTTGGAGAATGAGCAAAAGGGATCAAGCGTTCACTTCCTTTCCCTCTGGAGAAAGCAACTCCTCTTGCCCACCCAAACTGCCCAGTGAGGCCAGCACCGCTGGAATATTGTCCCACTGTATCATCCATGTCAGAACCTCAGTGGGCCATGTTGGATGCTGCTGCCTGGCTATAGTAGATACCTTGGGAGTCACAGGCAGGTGCTGTTAAGTCCCTATGTTTATTGGACACAAGTGTGTGCTTAGGGCTGTTTCAGGCACTAGGAAGCAGGGAGAAGAGTCAAAGATGTGCCCTGCCATTTTAGAGCTTATGATACTAGTATGAGAGTGAAGAGGTATACAAATGGCAACACTATCTGGCAGAATGTGGCAGCCACTGAATGAGGACATCTCACAGGAAGGTGCTGAAAGTGGAAAAGTTTGAATTTGGAAAGTTCCCTAGTGGGTGGCTAGGCACTGAAGAGGGCAGAATAACGCTTTTGGTTGGTGTAGGTACTGAGTGGGGGGAGTTCAGGGAAAATTAACAGGGTTTGCAGAGATGTGAAAGTGAGAAGATGTAGCCTTTTGGTCCATGTGCTTGAAAGTGGGCCGGCTACTTACCAGTCCGTGGTCCTCATGGAGGATGCGGAGGCTCTCTTGGTAGGTGTTGGCTGCTGGTCCCTTGACATCAAGGACTGTATGGTTTTCTTCCTTTATTACTCTATGTGATGCCTGAAAGTGTTTTCTCTATAGTAACTAGAGTATTTATGTCATTATAAACTACATTGTAGTATGTTTATAGATAGAAGAAACCTTTTTAATATGAAAGGTTTGAAAAATTTCAAATGGAGAGTTCATATGAAAAATCAGGCACAATATTTAACGGTCTTGTGAAGGGTCCTTCATATGAAAGTCCCTTCTTATGACCTTTTAGTATCATGCCTGAACTTTTGTCCGCCTGGCCAGGTGCCCATCAGTGCTCTGTGGCCCATGCTGTCCCCATTTGTCTCATTCAGGGTGAGATTCTGATCACAAGAGTGGGATAGAAGGTGGGAGGTTAGAAGGAGGGAAAGGAAGGCCCCAGAGGGCAAGTTAGTAGTGATAGATGGGCATTTAAAAAAGAAGAAGAAAGAAAACTAAGCCCTAGATATGATGGAGGGCTAAGTAGGCTAAGTAATGCAAAATATGGAGCCTGGTGGAAGGAAAAAGGAACAGAGAGGAATGTTAAGAAGAGCCAGAATTAATCAAATTAAGTTCCAGGGACTGAACCACGTTAAAAATATTGACTTGATGTTGAAATTAATATTGACAGCTGAAGTTTAAATATGTTTGTTATATATCTTTTTCATGTTAAAATAAAAATGACACCAAAGTGCTATGTTGACATGCTTTCCCCCCCGCTCAGAATCCTAGCGTACATGATGCCTTGTTAAGTGTCAGAACAATGGATAGCCAGTATTTGATTTTCCCTTTCCTTTCTCACTACAGGAAACACCAGAAATAGCCCACCATCCTATGGGTTTCACCTCTCACCAGAAGAAATGAGGAGACAACGGCTTTACAGATTTGATGGCCAGTGAGGTGGCACAAGGTCTTGGGAAGACATGGTCCAGTTGTGTAACTATTGCTCATTTGGCTCACTCCCCAAGCCCCTAATTAGTTTTAAACAAAAACAGAATATACCATTATGGCCCCAGATTGCTCTTGTCTGCTGTGAACCATCACTCCATGGCCCCTGCAAGTCCAGATTGCCTTTTCTGAAAACTGGACTTGTCCAAGGCGGGCTCAGCTTCTGGGAGTGGTCCTTCTGGCCCTATTTTCTGCTCTAACAGAAGCTCACTTCCTCAACTTTGGGACCAGTTTCCACATTCCTTCTCTCTCTCCTGACTCAGTGGTGCCTCTGCCCTGTTTTGCTTTTGAAGACTGTGACTTTCACCAGGAAGCTTTGTTTTCACAAGATGGGAAGATCAGTCCCTCACTCTGCCTGGAATGCTTGTGCTGACTTGGCAGGAGATGGGCACATTGCCATGGTGACTGCTCAGGAAGAGGATGTGGCTACCTTCCCAGCATACTGTTCTCTTCTTCTTCTCCCAGGCATCTCAGCTCCTCTGGCCACCAGGTCTGGGTGCTAGTCACAGTGGCTTGCTTTTTGTGTTGCTCTGCCTATAGAATGTTTTACTGAAGAAGTGTAAGAATGGCCTAAGATGGAGAAAACACCTGCCCACTCCATTAGGTATCAGATGGCACCTGCAGTCAGAGTTAACAGCCACCCCTCCAGAGGCAGTATGTATACCCACAAGATGGGACCTATCATGTATCTCATCAGCAAAGCAGCAGCAGCCACATACAGAGTAGAGTGAAGGCATTCAGTGGACTGAACACTAGCAATCCTCCTTACAGGAAGTATTTTTTCCTTTAAAAAAGTGCCTCTTCATTGTCCTCTGTAACTACCATTTGCCCTGGACAAGTGTTCAAAACATGCCCCAGGGCCCTGCAGTGTTAGACACAGATTGTCTGTCGAAGTCATTTAAGGAATTTCCTGGTGCAGGTGTGTTATGAATAAAAAAGAACAAAGCCAAAACATCATTAATGTTGAATTGTCATAGAGCTATTTATTTTTAAAGAGATTTAAAAGCAGTCAAAAATCTTCCTCTTATCTGTCATTTATAATAGTTTTTTCTGACTATGAAAATAATAAATATGCCTTCTATATGCATAAAGCAAACATTTATAATGAAATAATACTAAGTGTTAACAGTTTTTTTTTGAGAAGAGAGAGAGAAAAAAATTTTTTTTAAATTTATTTTTCAGTTTTCCATGGACACAACATCTTTATTTTATTTTTATGTGGTGCTAAGGATCGAATCCAGCACCCCGCACATGCCAGGCAAGCGTGTTTCCGCTTGAGCCACATCCCCAGCCCCAACAGGTTATTTTTGAGGGGTGGAGTACATGTGATTTTGCTTTCTTTTTACAATTTTATATTGCTAATTTTTAAGAGTGTGGCGGGTACTGCAGTCAGGAAAACCAGTTTATATAATAAATCAAGAAATACAAAACCAGTAAAACAGATGTAAAATATTATGCATTCACTAAGAAAGCTCACTGGATAAAACAGTAATACAAATAAATACATACACAATTTTAAAATCACCTGTATACCCACCATTCAGAGGTAACCAGGTTTAATATTTTGGGGAAGTGCCTTCTCGACTTTTGGTTTTGTACATTTCACAAATTTTGCAGCACACTGGCTATGCAGTTTTTTATGCAGTTCCTAATCTGTATATACCTGGAAGAGATCTTGACCCCAACATATAAAGGAGCTAAGAAAATCACATGGGTCCAGGGAACTCTCCGACCCTGCCACCGGCTGGCACAGTGACACCCAAGCTCCTTGATTTAATGTATCACTGATGTAAAACTACAGCTTGTTGATAATATAAATTGTATCCAAGTCTGGTAGCTTTAAATAATATTTATATTAAAATGTTCAAAAGCTAAATTATTATTATCTCCCAACTCTATAAATTTGACTTCTAGAAGAAATAACCTCTTTCTTACATACCATATTTTCATACACATAGAAATTATGCTGTAACACTTATCTCTCCACTGCCATCATCATCTGTGCATAACTACACCAAGAAGTGCCTTCCACAGGGAGTGAGGGTTGTGACTGACCCTGGAACGACACCTGTGTTTTATTTACCTTTCTGCATTCTCCCTGTGTCCCACCTCTACCATCCCGAGGCTTGTGGTAGGTAGGGGCTTATTAAATGTTAGTTTCCCACCAAAGTGTTTTTCCAGTTTCTTTAAAAGGCTTTCTGGCTATGTTTTTATTGCTGGAGTTCAATAGTAGTACCACCTCACTCTATGTGATTTGTCAGATACTAAAACACTGGAATTAGATTTGGGGTAGTATAGATATAATATGCATGCTTTCTTTAGTTATGGAGTGGAAGATTACCAAACATTCGGAGATGTGGGAAAGGTCTTTTAGTAATAAATATAAACCGTCTATTTTTGCACAAAATAAAGATGTTCTGGAAATTATTATAATTATGTTTTTCAGTTAATGGGCTTGCCTATAACCAGTGCTTACTGTCTTCAGTGTCGATTTGGGGGAGGGGGTATCATTGTTTTTTCCTCTACAGTAAGGAATCCCCAAAGTTATGCTAACAAACTGGAACTGGGTTAGAAAAGACAGATAAAGGCAATGCCTTAAACAAAGTATCTTTAATAGGGAGTGAATATTAAGAGCTGATTCTTTAATTTGGTTTCTTTCTTTAATCATAGTTTCCTGATCACTTGTTACACACCCAGTTCCCATAGTTTGTTGTGGTAAATAAACTTAGACCTTTTAATATGGACTCTTTCCTTGGTTCTCAAGAGGAAGTAGTTAGAATCACTTCCTGTTCATGAGTTGAAATTCATTGCCTGAGATTCCACAGTTGTGCACAGTAATGTTCAACTCTCCTCCGTCTTTATAAATGCCTTCTGGCGAAGCTCAAGCTGAGAAGGAATTAACTACTTTTGGTAGCACTAGGGCCAGTCTACGTATTTGGCACATGTTCTGCTGCCTGGGGAGTAAGCTAAGGGAATGAGGTGACCCCTCCACACACAGGACCATAAGGTGGGGTTGGGGTGGGGGAAGACCTTGCATCCTTGTTCCCAGTTTTAGTTTCTCTCCAGAGATTGATTATTCAATAGCTAAAATATTCAATTACTCATTTAAAAAAACTTATCATTTCTTCCTTTCCCTTCCTGTGGCTCACTACAGTCATTTCCTAATTTTCTTTCTATTTAAATTTTTGGGGCCCCTAATATTTCATTTTCAAACCACAGACTCTCAGGAGGACCTTAAAATCTTTCAAGTCATTACTCTGCTCAGTGCTTCAAAGTCTTCACTCATTCTCCACCAGGCTACCCATCTAGGCTTCCAAAAACCACTCTTTTGCAATGCCACTCATCATCTCAGATGCCTTTTATTGTCTGTTGGTTGCCAAAGATAAAAGTGGGAGTCGTTAGCCTGGATAACAGGGCTCCACCCAGGCTTTTGACCCCCACCCCATTTGTGCACAGCAGAGCTTGCTCTCTGGCCTCCCTACCAACTAGGATCACTATTTTCTAACCTATCCACAAGTAGAGAAAGTTCCTAAGAGGTAATGGTGTCATGAGTGAGAGCACTGTCTATAGCAACAGGCAGAGTGGATTCAAGTTCTAGGTACTAACTCTATGACCTTGAGCAGGTTATTTATTCTAAAACAGTTTCCTTGGAGGTAAAGTAGGATGTTTGTGGCGTTGAGAGAGCACATATGGTAGGGTTTATATGGTTTCTGTTACATAGTAGGTGCACAATAAATGTTAAATATCCTTATTTTCCCATCAGGTAAGAGTTTTAACCAAATATCATTGAAGTTCCCTTGCATTTAAAAGACTAAGTCCAAGAAACTTATTGATCACCTGTACTCCACTTATCCTCAATTCCAGCAACTCAGGGCTACAGGTTACATTTCATATTTATATAGCTGACTCACATACCTTTAATCCTGCAGAATAACCTTGTGAAGCAGGTGGTTTCATTCTTGCTCAATTAATGAGACAACTGAGGCCCAGAAATGTCTGAGCCACACACTGTTCAGGCAACTCAATGGGTGTAGATGCAGCCTTTCTGCCCTCAGGCCTGTTTTTGTTTTTTGTCTCCTTCACTGGGTGCAGAACTGTGCTTCACAGAGCCTCAGAATCCCATCCTTTCAAGCCTCTGATCTTCCCTTTTCAATTTACATCCACCAAGGAACATTCCTTATTTTCCCCACTATGCCATTTCAAAGGGTGGGACCCATTATGAAGTAGGTTAAACAAAGTAAACCCACTTTGGCTTGAAAGAAAATTAATTCAAATGAAACACAATTATTTAGGGAAGCCACTACAGAACTTTATGTATAAGGAACCATATTATATATAAGTGGTAATACAGCAAAGACTTAAGTGTCAACAGCAAGCCAGGCATCTTGCAGAAGTTATTTGTTCAAGTTACTTGTAGCTTTACAACTCTAGGTTAGAGAGAGGAATGCAATTTATTGGCCATGTTTCACATTTTTTCCATAAATCTTTAAATATTTAAGCACCATAAAATTCAAGCATTTCACACAAATGTGGCAGCCAGCCTTGGTGGTTTAAAATGCATTATGCAGAGTTTCCTGGCAGATAACAACAGTGACAATTACACAGTACTGATCTTTAACGTCAATTGTTTGTTCCCCACAGAACTTACCAGTAATGTCCCTGCAGGAAATTATGATTGTGTGTGTGTGTTTGGTACAGTAATTTTGAGGATATAAATAAAATAGCATTCCCCAAAACATTAAGAATTGACCAGGTATAATAATTCAAATCAGTAATTTATATGCCTTTTGAGAATCATAGCTCTCTATTGTGTGTTTAAAAAAAACACCCAAGGAATATTTTTCACATTGAATAATTAAATAAAAGATGTGGCCATAATCAATGCATGATGATAGCTATTTGTGAGAGAGATAATCTAACTTTAACTTTCAACACAAGAGTAGGTATTATGTCCTATCATCCTATTAGATAAATGAGGGAGATGAGGTTGAGGGAGTTGTGGAACTGGCCCAGGTGAACCAGCTGGATAGAGATGGAGCTGGATCAAGATCTGCGTACAACCAACTCTAAAGTCATTTTCCCACCATTCTTGCAGCTGAACCAAGTAAAAGTTACAATTGTCAAATTATTGCAGTGAGCTGATAAAACACAAATCTAATATAATTAATAATATAATTTCCTGGAACACAGATGGTTTGCTAATCTACAATAGGCTCTAAATAAAATCTTTGATAAAAATCTTAAGTTTCATGGACCATTCCACTGGCTATTTTTCTAAGCACCATTACATACACACAAATTTTGTAGAGGCATACTTTTGCTAGGAAGCTCTTAAATCAAGAGGGAATAGTGGTTACAGTATGAACTGTCATGGCACAGTACAATGAAGGGTCTTCTCTAAGCCAAGTCTTTCAAATCTCATCATTTCTGAAATTTCATTTTATATTAAAAAATTATTTTTGAGGGGAAAAGTGATGACTAAAGCTTAATTGCCTTTCTGCAGGTGTTGTAATAGGAGACTGTGGGTGTGCAGAATGTTGAACATTCTGATATTTTGAAGTTAAGAAATGGCTTATTTACCATTTTACCACTGAGGACCTTATATGCAGACCTGAACATCTAATGCCTAATGAGGCTTGTAGAATTATCATTAAATAAAAGTGTTGGCAACAATATGCTAAGTTCTGCTAGCACTGGACAAATGAAGTGTGGTCCCTGCCCTCCAGAGGCTTAGATTTTAGTTAGGGAATGAAGGACATGTGCTGAGACCTTAGAGAAGTACTGGGGAAACAGAAAGAGAGGCCAGCCCCACTAATTGTATTGGTGGCAGCTGAAGAGAGTCCAAATCTCCTTGAGGGAATTCACATGCATGCCCCTAATTTAGTCTTGAAAGATATGTAGGCATCTGCCAAGTCAGTAGACCAGAGGGAAGATATGGCTGGTGTAAGAGAAGGAACCAAAGGCACAGAGGTACTGCAAGAGTTTGCAGAACGGTGTACAATTCATGGTGGCAAGAGATAGTCCCAGGTGTAAGCCATGGACAGTTCATGCTGGACCTCTCACCCATTGTGAAGTCATTTGGACTTGGGCAATGCAGTCATTGAAGGGTTTTAAGCCAAAAGATAACAAAACCAAGTTTGGATGGAACTTAGATGACAACTGAGATTTGAAACTGGAGGAACTGGTCGGAAGATGTCTACTGCAAGAGGGTAGTTGGAGAGTCTCGTTAGGTACAAAGATGCTGGAGAGGAGGCAGCAATCCAGAGGAAGATGACTCAGATGCAGCCTGGGGAGTTGGAGAGCAGAAGGAACCCACCACATGCAGCATGGGGGACCACCTGGTGTCCTTCCCAGAATAAGGATCCAGAGGGAAGCATCCTAGTCCTCCAGCTTGAGCCTCAGAGCACTTCCCACTAGGCAATCAAGGTACAGTCCAACCAGTTAGGGGGAGAGAGATTTTGATAAGGATCATTACCGGTGATGGATTAGAACAAATTCATGGCCTTCAAGAGAAAGGGTAATTTAAAGCACATTGATATATAACGAGGTGAAAAAAAATAATGGCTTAAAATAAATAAGTTCTTTTTCCTATTCTGCCAATTTGACCATTTAAAATACTTCTTCAAAGCCAAGAGGGCAGCATTTGGGCTATATTTAGAGAGGACTCCTGTGATGTCAGTATTCTGAACTACCTTATACTCACTGTCCCAGACACACTGTGGAGGAAAGTCCACTTAATGCAGCCTAGTGTTTGTTGTATTGTTTGTTTGTTTTACATGTTTTAAAGTTTGCTAAGATAATACTCTAATACCAGAGTTAAAGGATTTAAAATAATTTAGCAAACAAGATACAATTCTGATGTTCCATTTTTCATCCTTACCTCTAGGCTTAAATTTGAGCTACCCAGACATATTTAACATGCATAGCATGGTTAAAAGGGGGGCAAATTAACTAGGAATGTTTTGCTACATCAATAAAAAATTTCATCTTAAAATATACATTTATCTTTTTAGCAGAATGTACCCTTAAAATAGATTGCCCTCCCACAGGCAGCCCATAGAAAACACATTTAAAATCTATTCTACAGAGAAGAACTCATTACTAACCAAAGTTTGGCAAGGAAAACATTTGTTATAAACAAAATTTAATTGAGTTTTCTCTCAATTATTTTTAAGCACACTGAAAGTAAGCACTAATATGGATGTTACTTTCATGAAAAGTTCCTTCAGTTTTCTCCTAAACGACATTTTCTTTATGTGAGGAAGATCAGTTTTCTGAAAATCTTTTCTAACAAATCTTCTGTTTTGTAGGATTAGACCACCAGATTCCTGGCAAAATAGAAAACAGACCTTTTCCTATTTGAAAGTGACATAGCTTCTAAACTTTTATAAAAATTACTGATGCCAAATGTCAAATGACTGCCTCGGTACAATACTCATAAAAGGTATGTTTTTAAAATTGGCAAACTGGGATGTTCCTGTAAACACCAATCACAGGAATATAAAATTCAAGTTGTAGATCATCTTTGTTTCTTTTAAAGACTGTCCATACCTTCCTGGGGGGGGTGACCCTTAAATGAATTTTCTTACCTAAGCTTAATTAAGTCGGCCCTTAATTTACTCCCAAGTGCATAATGATAGCCCTGTCATGTCCCCAAGTGAGCTGCCATTATGTATGTGGAGAGAAAGTGTCCATTGTGAGCTGTAAGGAAGCTCTGCAGGTTTTCCTGGGGCGGGAGAGAGATGCTTTGTAGAAACCCTGTGCCCGCCTGAGTAAGCCCCATGTGGCTTCAGTCCCATTAGCACTGAGGACCCCGACTGGGGAAAAGCGGTCTGTTTGGGAGCTCACTGCAATGGAGAGTCAATTTTTGTGAATCACTACTTTAATATTCATTAATAGCTTTTAGGCTCCTAATCCCTTATTGAATATATTTTTTTCCATAATTGCTACTTTTCAAAAGGGTTGCCAAAGTAGGCATTTCCATTCTCTGAAAAATGCAGAAGAGAACATAATGTTTTTATAGTCATCTGTGATGTGTTTATGCTAATGTCGCAGCTCTAGAATACAGAGACTGTGGGCCTTCCTGGCACAGTGATTCATTCTGCTTTGAAATGAACTGTTAATGCTGGCAGTGTGGATTATTTTTTTTTCTTTTTCTTTCTTTCTTTCTTTTTTTTTTTTAAATCTCTTTGGGTCATGGTTTTATGATTATTTAAAGTGCGTGGAAAAAAATAGATTACAGAGGAAATCATTTTTGAAATGTTGAAAATCTCTACTTTCTGGTTTCATTTGTTGCCCTATTTTTTTTCCTGTAAAATCCATCCCAAAGCCACTATATTATAGAGTAATTGACTTCATTTGTTTGAGATGCTGTTAACCAATGAATGAAATTTTCAGTAGCATAATTTGTAATCTTGCTTTTACCATCCACTCACCTTTTAGGGGATTAGCATATTTTCAAATAAAGCCTATACTCCACCATCCCCAACAAAGTAAGAATATGTGGGCTTCATCTAGATTAGTGGGTAAAAACAAATCCACCATGTAACCTTTGCTTAATCTGTAAGGAAGGAGGGAGGAGGACCTGGAGGACTCTGGGAATGACCACCTTGAGACAGGGAACAGCTGAAAATGAAGTGGGGTCCAGAATAGCACCAGTGAATCTCTTAGCACAGCCTGGGAAGCCTGAGCTCCCTCCGAAGTGTCTCTTGGCACACGCTGATGAGTTCCGCCTTCTCTAGCTATACTTCACACAGACCTGGCACCTGCTGATTTTCTGGCGCTGGGCCTGGCCTTCTTTCAAGGTGTCTGGTGAGGGGGCGGAGGAAAACTGCATGTCTGGTTGCACCGACGTCAGCCAGAAGCTGTACTCATTTGCGAAAAAGTGGCAAGTTCCCTGCCGGCCCTGGCATTCAAGGAACGGTGCCGCTCTGAAATCTTCCAGGCAGCTGCCAGGCGACATGAGGGCCTGCCCTCCTCCTTGGTCCCCAGCTCCTGTGTGCTACGCAGGCAACAAGAGAGAATTAGGGCTCAGATACACGCCCACAGCCCATACCCACTTCGGGGCCATGCCCAGGTCTGGGCCCGCTGTTAACATTTTTCTGTAAATCATTCCATAAAGAACAAAGTACAACCCGCTGGGAAGTAGTAGGAAGCACACAGCGGAGCCAATTTTGCCAATAGCTAAAGCAAATCCATTTTCTAAATTCTACCAAACTGATAAAAAAATGACAATAAAAAAATAATAGTGGCCCTGTATCTCGACCTACTGTGGTTTGTAATGGCGTTCATGACCTCATGTCCTACTGCTGTCTGCACAGAATGAGCAAAATTACTGTCCAACCCAGACAGAAAGGGCCAGAGAAGGTGCTAGAACACAGCAGGTGTGACAAGACCCCAGGGCAGGGCACTCACCATCAGGAAGGAGTACCCGATCCAGAGGCTCCTCCAGGCCCGTGGACACGGGGGGATGGTCTGATCCTGGCTGTGCACCGCCACCGCCTGTGCGGGGGCCTCGCACACGGCACAGCGGCTGATGTACGGGCGGATGTCCTCCTCTGCGAGGGGCATCATGGGGAGGGGCGCTGCGCTGGCTAGCCAGTAGGACTTGTCGTTCCTCCGGGCGTAGTGGCACACTTGGTGGATGTTGCAGTAGGCAAAGGGCAGGGTGCTAAACATCGGAAGGCAAGACCCCGCCAGACCTCCGAGCAAAGGAGAGACACCAGTGTGAGCCCCCTGTGCTTGCAAGGGGACCTTTCCACACAGGGCATGAGCAGACACCTGCTCTGGTCTGTGGGGGCCTGCCACAGCCTGCTCCGTGGTGGTGAGACCGCGTGGGCCAACCCTCCTCTGCTCTTCCCTCCCCCGTGAGCCCAGCAATGGGCAGGTGCTGGAGGTGCATGGGATCATCTGTCTGTCTAAGTGAAGCTCAGGGCCCAGGCGGAGCAGACAGGCAGGCAGGCAGACAATGAAAATTCAGCCTGACAACCCTATGAAGGAGGGGTACCTGGGGCTCTGGGAATGACAACTGGAGGAATTATTTGAAGCTGGGACTTGAAATATATATATATATATATATGAATGAGTCAGGGTTGGAGATGGAGGAGACTATTGGAAGAAGAAGGTACAGCAGTGAAGAAGGCCAACCATGGGTGGGAGAGAGAGTGTCTGGGTGTCTGCTCATCTCAGGGGGGTCTGAAGGCCAGAGGGCAAGGGTCTGTGGGATGGGTGATCCGGCCAGACCAGGGCAGAAGCAAGACTGGTGACAGATGGGGAGGAGAAGAGAAGGCAGCAGATTAAAGACGTCAAATGTTCCTTCTTCCTCCTGTCAGGTGCTCAAGGGAACTGTGATGGGAAAGGTCACAGCTGAACCCAAGGAGAAAGGCAGATGGATGTGTGAGCAGCTGTCACCCTAGGCTTGTGCCTGTAACTCTCTTTCTAACATTGGGGTCACAGTCCCCTTGGTGCATCAATTCCCACTGCCCCTCAACCACTGCTATCTTGGAAAGACAGTGTTTGTCAGAACCCAGTACCTAAACCCTTGCCTGCAAGTCCTGCAGTTTAACAACAAATTGGAGTCGAGCAGGGAGTGGTGCTGGCAGGTGCTGTGAGGTATAACCACCAGGTGTGGCCATGTGCCATTGTACATGTACGAAATCCAGGAACTCCCCAGGTCCTGATTAAATAGTTCACATTTGGGAGTAAAAACTGCCTTTTATGACAGAGTTATATTTACCTTACTGTGGAAAAATTGTTTATTTTATCTTATTTTTTGTAACGAATAATAGGTGGCCAGATAATAATAACTATAAACAGAATAAGTTTCTTTGATACCTCAAAAGATAGTTGGCAAATAGCATAGTAGTTTTTGAAGTAATAATAATTTCATAAAAGATGAACATTGATGAATCTATAATATTAACCCTGAGGTATGATTCTCCAATGGCAAGGGAATCTTGTGATATATCCTTACCAAGGTCTTGATTGTGAGCTTTCTCTTGGCCTTCCAGGTATAACAGACTATACCCGGTCCAGAGCTGGGGCATGCCCACAGGGCAGGAGGGTTCTTGAGCTGTCTGACTGTGGAGTACTAGGAGGAAGCCACTGAGGTATCCAGGGCCAACTCCTCTGGGCCCAGGATCACCAGGGGAACCAGGAGGGCCTGGAACAGGAAAGAAAAGAAAGCTTAGGGGGTTCTGTTCAACAAACATTTCCAAGAACCTCTATTCCAGTGCTGTACTGAGCACTCAGAAGAGGGAAGGAAGCAGGACACAGGCCACTTCCAGGAGTATCCCCCTCACACAACTGCATATACACAAACAGACTCCTCCAGCAAGTGCCACAATAGGCACAAACACGACTCCTCCAGCAAGTGCCATCTTCTTTCTGCATCTGCAGGTGCCTCAGTCATGGGTTCTGCCAACCATAGATTGAAACTACTCCAAACAAAAAATTGCATCTGTACTTAACATGCAGACTTTTTCCCCTGTCCTTATTCCCTAAACAGCAAAGAATAACAGCTACTTACATAGCGCCTACATGGTAAAAGATATTAAAAGAAGTTTAGAAGTGATTTAAAGTATACAAGAGGATGTGCATAGGTCATGTACAAATAGTATGCCCGAGGAAAGCAGCCTTGGATGTTGGCATCTGCAGTGAGTCCTGGAACCAACCACAGCTCGTGAATCCTCAGGGATGATTGTATTTGGTACCAGCAACTTCTAGGTGCTTGAGCTACATTCGCATAAAAAGAGAAAACAGGGCAATCCCTGCCCTCCCTGAGCTTAATGCCACTTGAGGAAAAGAAATGACAATAAGCATAACAAAATGGGAAGTTGTAAAGCACCTTAGGAAGTAGTAAGTGCTGGCAAGAAAAGAAGAAGAACATTTAAGTGTGGTCTCCCTGCCTTCTCAGACCTGGCTGGGGGCAGGCCTCCTCAAAGTTGGTCTTCATACAAGTGCCAGGCCTCTCTGCCTCCAAAACACCAAAACATTATAGTATAGGTTCCATTCTGAGGAGGGGGCTTGGGATCCACACACATCCATATCTCTCTATCTCTCTCTCTCTCTCTGTCTCTCTCTCTCTCTACTGGGGGTTGAGCCACAGAGTGCCTGCCATACCGCTGAGCTAACCCCCACACCTTTTTTTTTTCCCCCCAGGCTGGTCTTGAACTTGCAAAGTTCTCTTCTTTTATAAGGGAGTGAGGTGGAAGGAAGGGCTAGTTTTAGAATTCTTGTTGGCAGATGGGAAATAAGCACTCTATAAAAAGCAAGCAAAGTCTGTCCCCTCTGACACTCTAAAGGGGCTGACCTGTGACCAGGCCAACTGGCTCTTTCTAATTGCCAAGAACAAAAGGTGAAGTTAGACTTTGAAATGAAAGGTGTTTTGGTTTTGCTTTAATCAACTTGTTCCTGCAAGACTGACAGGCTCTCCCCATCTACACTGTAAACCAGATATTACCAAGTGGCTGCTTGTGGACTGAATCAGGTCTGCTCATGTGTTTTGTTTGACCTGTAAAGATTTCACAATTCAAAATTTCATACTTGAAAGAAAAGCGTGTTGGATGTGCTTCTGTATAGGGAACAACTGGCCAAAGCCGCATCTTCTAGAACCAAGCTCCACTCTGCTGCAGGCGCTGTCCACCCAGCCCTCCTGGCACATTACTGCTCATTACCAACCAGGTATGGACTTCCCTTGACAGATGCTCTCCAAAGATAAGATTGTGTCTTAAGTCTTTGGGTCCTCATGCTTGAAATGCTACCTGTTTGTTTGTTTGTTTGTTTTTTCTCTCTCTATTTTTTTCCTTCTGATGTGCTGAGGATGGAACCCAGGGTCTTACATATGCTAGGCAAGTGCTCTACCACTGAGCTACACCCCCATCCCCTGCATTATAGTGCAGATTTATATTCTGAAGAGTCATATCTCCCCTCTTACCTACTCCCCCAGTTTTTTCCTTAAGAGCCCTGTATTCTATATATATATATATATCAGTAGCTATTTCAATAAGATCAAGTTCCAGGTGCCAGGGTGTCCGCCTATAATCCCACCAACTTGGGAGGCTGGGAGAGGAGAATCACAAGTTTGAGGCCAGCCTGGGCAACTTAGCAAGACTCTGTCTCAAAAAATAAGACTGGGGATGTAGCTCAGAGGTAAAATGCCCCTTGGTTCCATTCCCAGTACCTACCCACCTATCTACCTATATACATACACACATGGATAAGAAGTAAACTCAAAAAACCACAGGCCAAGCCATACGGCCAGTGACGCAGGTTGGAAACACACTGTGCCCAAGATCCTCAGCAGTCTTTCAAGGGCAATCCCATAGTAAACCAGGCTGATGGGCCCTTCAGGACCTTGAAAACTGAACAGCTGCAGCAGCCGAGCCATTTATGATGACGCGGAGCAGTCTGGGAGAGTGCTGACAGGATTTATGAACTAGATCTGTTGGATGGTTTTGCATCCATTTGAATATGGGAGACGCAGCCACCCCCTTCTCATGTCTCCCTGGTACCTGCTAAGCTGGTTTCTAAGGCAAATACTTCTAAGAACATCCTGTTTGCAAAGCTGCTTGAGAGAACAGAGCATCTTAGGTCCCCAGCATCAGAGAAAAGAGGAGAAACAGAAACCCTTACCTGGGGCTCCAGGGCAACCAGCCTCTCCAGCATCACCTTTGTGTCCAGGAGGTCCAGGAGGCCCAGGGACACCATCATTGCCCTTCCTGCCATCCAGTCCAGGTTCTCCTTTGCACCCTGCGGACAAATTCAAGACAGTGGTAAGAATAGCAGGGCTCCTGGGGCCATTGCCACATGCACGCAGGTGCCAGCCCAGGGCTTCCTTCTTGACTGCGCTGCGCCAGTTCATCTGTTCTTCTTGGCTATGAAGCTACAATTATGCCATCTCCACTTTGCAGCTGGGACAAAGGAGTATCTTCATTAAGTGGATGAGCCTGTAAAGGGCTGGGCCTGACTCAGAGCAGGAGACTAGGAGCCATTGAGAAAGAGCTTTTCCCATTTTCCTTCAATATTATTGTATTTTTCCTTTAGAAAAAAACTTAAACATGTATGGCTTTTATAATTACATATTATCCTTTGGAATGAATATTTTTAAAGCCTCAATGAAGGAATGAGTGAAAATTAATAGGATTTAGTGGGGGGTTAAGTTAAATTTGGAGCCAGCAATTTTTTTAAACAGCTTTTCAATTGAGTGTTTACCATGGGCGAGGTATCAGGCTAATCCCTTCACGTGGATTATCCAAATCACTCTTCCCAGCAGTCGTAGAACAAGGTATACTCTTATGCCAATAGGTATCACCAGCTAGTCAGGCTGGTGACCTGAGCTGGGTTCACAAAAACTGGCTGCATCAATAACTAAGAAAACGGTGAAAGAAGCATGCAACACACAGAAAGACCTTTTGCTTGCAGGAATCAGGGATGGCTCTCGACCTTAGGGATCCGTTGGAAAGAGAGAGAGAGAGAGAATGCTTGAAGCCAACCTATTTATTGAGGGAAAAAGACATTCGAGAAAGTTCAACCCAAATAAGGCAAGGGATTAGGTTTCAGGGGGTTGCTTGGTGATGTCCTGTGGCCAGCAGATTGACTGACATCTTGGAAGGCCACACCCGTCTCAGGTGCCCTGTGGGATCAAAGACAGAGCAAGTGAAAAGGGCACATACGTCGCACAGTCCAGTCAAAGCAGCAACATCTGTCCGGTCCCCTCATGTGCTCAAATGTTCATAGCTACCACACACAGCCCATGGCTGGCTTGCAACAAGTAGGGAGAAGGCTCAGGCCATGGAGTCCATCAGGTATGGTGAGCAGCAAACCTAGCTCCAGGAGGCCAAGTGTAAAGGTTGCTGCAACCCTAGCCCCCTCAGAATCTAGGGACATTCTCAGAGGATGAAAACTTGGAGACCATTGCAGCAACCATGCTCCTGGAGGGGTTAAGTGCCTGGTTACTTCTTTTGTCCAGACATCAATTAATTGGCCAAATCTCCATTTGGTCAGAGTGGCAGACATGGTCATTATCTTTGGGAAAGTTACTGCTCTAGCTGCCTGAATTACAAGCCCTCTCCAGGTTTCTAGTCTCTACTTCTTGTCTGTTGTTGTTGTTATTGTTATTTTGTTTGTTTTCTCTCTGTTCCACAAATTAGCTTATTAGGGACGGATTTGCGTCGCTCTCCTCTTAAATTGATATGTTGAAGACCTAACTCCCAGTGTCTTAGAATAAATGACTAAGGAACAGGGCCTTTGAAGAATTGATTAAGTTAAAATCAGGCTGTTCAGGTGGGGCATAATCCAATCTGACTCCTGTCTTTCCAAGAAGAGGAAACTTGGACATACAAAGGGACACTGGGGATGTATGTACCTGAAATGCACAGAGCAAAGGCCATGTGAGGACATGGAAGACCACCATCTGCAAGCCAAGGAGAGAGGCATCAGCAGAAACCAAACCCACCAACACCTTGAAGTTGGACTTGCAGCAGCCGGGGCTGTGGTAAAATTCTCTGTTGTTTCAGCTCCTCCTGTGGCATTTTGTAATGGTGGCCTGAGAAAACCAACATACCTTAAAACTAACCTTTAAGTCCAAGGGGGCTCTCTTCAGTGGCTTTGCATCTTGCCTCCTTCCTCTGCTCTCCCATAATGATGTGAGGATGACAAAGCTGAGGATGCCAATCAATCTCTGCAGTTCACTGAGATCCCCCCCCCCATTTAAGAAACCAGTTTAGCCCATTGACTTGGGCCTCAGCCCATCAAATTGATGAATTAAGAAAAGACAGAGACCCAAATCCTGTGCCTTAAATCACCATCCCTGTCAAGCAAAGGATGCATGGAGGCTTAGAGAGGGTTGATTTGGTTTTGGCAAGCCAGCAGAAATCAGATATTCCCACAGAGTTTCCTTCTCTGTCCTGTCTCTGAAAGGCCCATCCATGAGCCTCTTTTGCCCCAGACCAGGCCCTAATTGCAATTACCTGTAGTCCAGTCCCTGGCCTCTGACCTTCCCCTGCCACCCCATCTGAGAAACATCCTAATGGCACAGGTACTGCTGGTTCTGTGAACAGAAGCCCAAAGAAGTTCTCAAACAGTGGTCCTCCCACTTTGCCTCAGCAGGGCTGGGGTGGGTGGGGCCTAGGAATCTACATTTCCAAGTTCCCACTCGTTGCTCTTTCCAGGGACCACATTTTGAGAATGACTGTTCCCAATTATAAATTAAAATTTAAAGCTAAACTCTTTCTAGTCATAAAAGTGGTAGTATATTCTGAAAATCCTATATCTCTGCCTCTTCTTTTTGTTGTTGTTGTTATTATTATCTTTTTCATATTTCTGCCTAATCTTTAAGCCAGAAATTCTACCTGGAATTTATCTTAAGGAGACAACATTGACACTAAAAATAGCAAGAAGATGTTCTGTTTATCCGGTCAGTTCTAAGTGCTTTCTCTGATATTTACTCATATAATTCACACCACCAGCCCTTTTAACAGATGCAGAAACTGCATCACCGAGAGCTTATGTGGCACAGCACATGTAGTCCAGACCCAGAATCTTTCTTCCTAATCGTTAGTTTGTTCTCCTTTACAATCAGGGCTGCTTATGGGTGATAATGGGTTGCTTATTCATTACCCAGAAAGATATTCATTACCAGTTGTTTATTATGGTGAAAAATGGAAACACTTCAATTAAAGCAGTTCCTTTAGGTTGGTCCCTGTAGCAGCAGCAGTACCACCTGGGAACTTGTTATGAATAAGGAATCTCAGAGCCCTCTAACAAGCCAGGAGTCCAGGGTGGGGCCTGGCAATGTGTGTTTTCACAAGCTCTTGGGGGATTCAGATGCTCCATCAAGCTTGAGAACCAAAGCCTTAAATATCCCTTGTGACCCTCCGTCCCTGGCTCCAGGTTAAGTTCCACTGTTATGGATTCCCACATTACCCTTTCTTAACACTCCACACAGCTATGCTAATTCAGTGAATCCCTTCATTTTCTGCTAGCCTGTTGCTCCAAAGGGCAGGGCCTTGTTGGATTAATTTGTTTCTTGCAGAGCAGCTGGCACTAAAGCAATCAATAAATAATTCATGAATGTGGTAGTTAAATAAATTATGGCACAATGAAATAATGCAATATTCTGCAGCCACTACAGATAATATTGTAGGAAAATATGTAATGACATAGAAGTAATGGCACATTAAAAAGAGCAGTGTGCAAAAGAATATGCATAGAATAATCTCTTTTTAAAAACGGGCAGAAATGAGACCGGAAAGATATACAGGCAATAAATAGTACCTTTTAAAATGTTTAGTTTCTTTTTTATAAAAACGTGTACAATAAGGATTTCTTTCCTCCTTTTACCAAATAACTATCCCCTTGGCTAATGCTACCATCTCCTGTCCCCTACCATACATACCTCTCTCTACAGTTCTCAACATCAGGTGGTTCTGCCCTTGCCCACTAGGGGGCGATTGGCAACATCTGGAGACATTTTTGGTTTACCTTTTGGTTGACCCATGGCGAAGGGGTCCGATTCTGATATTTAGGGGTTTAGAAACCTGGATGCTGCTCAGTAACCTATAATGCACAGGATAATGGATTATCTGGCTCCAAATGCCAACACTTGAGAAACCCTCGGCTCAGAAACGATGCTCTACCTTGTAGGTTATGCCCGAGGGTCCTGTATTCATTCCCCAAATATTCATCTAACACTTCCTATGACCCAGGGCTGTGAAGGGTAGCAACAATGAGTAAGAAAAAGCCTGCCTTAAAGTTATTGTGGTCTTTAAAGCAGTGGTCAGAAAATCACATGCCATGGGTCCCACTGCCAGGAGTGTGCTACGGTGATACTGGACATATGTTCATTCATTCACACATTGTCTGTGCTTGTATGTCACAGCAGCCAAACTGAGAGGTCACCACATCAGGTGTCTGGCTCCAAAGCCTATGAAACCTACTGTCTGATCTTTACAGGAAATGGTTTTAACCCCTGGCCTAGGAGGATGGACAGAACAAACAAGCAAATACATATACCTCTGGTGACACGAATGTGACACTAAGGATTGTAAGTAGAGGACACAGAGAGAAGGGCTCTGGCCTTGAGCCTTGGATTCAGACAGGAAAAGCTCATAAGGAAGGTGATCTTGAGGTTGATAAGTGAATAGCATGGTCCAGATGAAGGGCACTTGGGCAGAAGAAACAGCATGTGCAAAGGCCTACAGGAAAGTGGGTCATGGCACCTTCAGGACCTAAAGAGGGCAGCTGGGGGCATTTGTAATAGGCAAATATTGGATTTGTCCTTGGAGGGAATAGGGAGGCTCTGGAGAGTTCAGAGCAGGGGACTGAGGTGTCAGGTGATGCAGATGTCTTGCTTCCCTTCCTCACATAAGCCCACTACCTCCTAGAACCATCTGGAATGGGTGCCCCTCACTGCTTGCATTCTAATACAGCAACCTGTCTGAGGCTTCCCTCTACCTTCTGTCCCCAGCTGTTCTCCCCACCCTGCACAAGGTGGTTGAGTTGCATTTAGTGAGGACATTCTGATATTTGATGTGCTGACATCACGCCTTTGGAGCACCTTGGATTAGAAACAAATTTGAGTGCCCCCATGGTGCCTAGACTGTATTTATTTATTCCCCTGGTGGTACTAGGGATGGAACTCAGGGCTTCACACATACTAAGCAAGCACTTTTCTTTACCACATCCCAGCTCACCTGGGCTGCATTCTGCATGAGGTTAAGGGAAAAAAAAGATGTCATCCTACCCGGGGAAGCAGAGCCTACCGGGGGAAGGGAACCTCATCTCCCCAGGTATGAGCTGCCGTATCCCTTTCCACTAGCTTTAAAGAGAACATCAGTTCTTTGGGAAGGACCCCTACACTGAGCTCAGATATTCTCAGAGCCCCTGACAAGATGATTTCAGCATGCAGCCACTGTGCTGTTCTGGAAAGGGCTGGGAGGAAACATTGCAGATCAAAGGCATCTGTGAGGAGAAAGCATTAGACCTTCTGGGTGGAGGATCCCTATCAGATGCCAAGTTATACTCAGCATGGATGTCGCCTGCTTAACCTAGGCAAGATCGAACCAAAAGTTTGGTTTTTCTCTGCAAGTCCAAGCTCTAGCACCTGGTAATGAAACTGGCTTAGGGAAAGAGAAGGTTTGAAGTAAAACAGGAAGAAACCAGCAATGTCATGGAGTGGGGAGGTGTTTCTTCTAGTGGCAGCTATTTCTACACAACCAGCCAAAAGGGTGGTATACCCCCCCCCCACCACACATACCTGCAAAATTATCACCTTCAGAAAAGCATGGAAAGCAAGCAACAGGTGCTGCAGGTGACCCACATCACTCAGGGTCGGGCCACTTTAGACACTCCTGATAGACTTGTCTCCTTAGTAACTGGATAGGATGATAGCAAGGAGAGACCAGATGGGAGAGGGGAACCGGAAAATATTGAGGGTGAAGAGGGCTCCTTCATAAACAGGAATCCAGACGCTGTGTAAAAGAAGAGGGGCCCAAAAGACAGTAATGGCTTCAGAGCAGGCGCACAGTAGGATAAAAAGAGCCCCAGGGGGACTGGGCCATAGGGGAATGCAGTTCACACAGAGAGACCCTGGAGAGAGGGTGATGCTTCGCCTGGAAGAACTAGGCAATATTTTTGTTTTGTTTTAGTAGTAATTACATTCTGTGGCAGAGAGTTGGCCTTGGGATGTCCCTACTGCCAACCAGCAGGGTCAGGGACACCAATAAAGAGAGGACATAAGAAGCCAGGGATGGCCTCCTGCAGATGAGCCCTTCTAACCTACATCAGGAGGAATTAGAGAATGCAGGTGATCACACCTGGGCCCACATAGCAAGCAGAGCCTCCTTAGGGAGCTCACAGTTTTTGGAGAGAGAATTTGCATATGCCCAGGATCACTATCAGGTGATAGCATACAGAACTTACCCATTTGATATTTGTTTTTCTCAATTACTATTTTTGATTGTTTTCCAAATCTGCCATGATGGGTGAATCCAACCATCCATCTGGTCTCAATTTTGATGTTGAGGCAAGGAAATGGTCTCAACCCAGCTGCCAGCCACAGTCAGATGTGGAAAGTTTAAAAGCACTAACAATCAGGCTCCACCTCCTTCCATATTTATTGGTCTCCAGTGAGGCTGGGCACCAGTCCCTTTTTAAGCTCCTTCAGGCAACATGGACCTACAACTAAGACTGAGTCGCTATGGAAGGCGTTATTCTTAGCTGAATCTTTTAAAGACAGCATTTATATAATAAAGCTAGGGTTTCTCAAACTTGAGCTTGTATGCAAATATCCTGGGGATCTTGTTCAAAGGAAGATTCTGCTACAGCAGTTCTGGGAGTGGGGTTGAGTTGCTACTATTCCCATACTCAGAGCATCAAGAATATGGTTGATTGATTCCTAGTTCCCAGGTTAATAGACCAACGTACCCCACTGTGCTCCTAACTCCTTCCTGCTGGATGATTCTGGCTCCTCAAAGCCCAGTCTTTACTTATGTCTCTGCTCCAATGCCAGCTTTTGCTGGGTTTTAGCAGTCCTGCAATCCCCCACATGGATTTAACCTCTCTGTGCCCTCTTCTTCTATGCCATTGGCCTGCAACTCCATTAAAACACAAATTACAATCTGCCATTGAGTTACTATGTTCCACTGGCTATTTCTGCCATAAGGCTGGGAGACCCTGGAGGAAGAAATCATCCTATTTATCTTTGAATTGCCCACAATAGCACTGTAGTTTACAAAGTGTAGAGGGAATCTGGAAGTATTTGCTGAATTGAATTTGCTGGACCTCACTGCAGGTCACATCTTCCACTTGTGAGAAGTACTTTTTAAAAAGTTGTTGGGGGGGAACCCTAGATATTGCAAACACATGCATAACATATATGTTTGGGTTTTAAAATGAGAGTGTGTGAGTTACACTGATGGGTACAGAGCTTTACCCTGGTTTGAGTGACAGAGAAAAAGATCTTAAGTAAGCACTAACCCAATTCCAGTGTTCCCAGGCTATTAAGGAAAGTCACTACAACTGACACTGAGATTGTGCACAAACACAGAAACAATGCAGCAAATACCAACAACAAAAACCTCTGTTATTTTGAGGAAGGCTCCAGAGATGTTTTGCTTCCCCCTGAGAACCACACAGACTCCTGTTGAGGGGGCACTTCCTGGATGCTTAGGAATCACAAGAAAAACTGGTGGTATAAAACTCAGTTCTACTTCTAATTCCTTTGTCCGTGAACCAAGAAGAACCCAAATCACAGCTGGGTAGAGGGGAAACAAGAGATGGACTGACCTTCTAATAATCTGCACACAGGTTTTCTGGACTCATGGGCACTGCCAACTGGCCTCAAGAAAGCAGTGACTTCTAGATGCCCAGCCTCAGACTGCCTGATCTCTTTGTAAATTACTCATCATGGAGGGGATATGTGAGAAGAAAATAAACCACTTGGAGAATGCTGTTCACAGAATCGTTCAGTTTAAATACCCATAATGATCCTGCTGCCTGGACAGTGGTCACACCAGGTACAGTTAGGTTGAGTGAATAATGCAGTCATTGCACAAAGTCAGAGCAACCCTCCTTCAACCTAGCCTTCTTCTAAGTGAAACGTCTTCTCTCCCTTCTTGAAGGCTCCGTTTCTGCTCCACCAAAGCCCAACTCAATTGCTTTTCACTTAAAACCAAGTCAATAGCTATTCAAGGTAATTGATAGGACACCCCCTAGGCATTTAGGATGCTGTCATGCCAAGGGGTTTCCAAACTCTGCATCCAGAGCTAGCCAACTATAAAGGATTTAAATAGGAGCTCAACATAAAACACTTCTCAGAGGTATGTGGATCTAGTAGTGCATGATTAAATCTTTAGATCTATGTGGAAATAAATAAGGACATTTTCACTTTTACTAGTGGTTTAGGCTCCATACACAAAGCTATACAATAAAACACCTAAACTTTCATTTCAGCAATATGTTATGTAAATAACAAATAGAGTAAGTCTCATACCTAGTCCTGGGGGGCCTCTCTGTCCTGGGAGCCCCACAGCTCCTTCTGGTCCTCTTGTGCCTGGCACTCCAGGAAGCCCTGGGATCCGGGGACAGGCATCCACATCTGCAGGTGGCCCTGGTTCACCTGGAATTGGAATCACCCCCCTGTGTGACGGGTTCAATGTTGATGAACAAGATCCTTCTGCACTCTCCAGCTAAGGAGAGGTTTCTGACACTATCCTGAAATGTCAACAAGAACCTCCAACAGTCTGGTGCCCATTCCATGAAGGCAGGAGCTTGTCTTGTTCACTGCAGGGACTCACAGAAAACTTCCAGAAAAGTGTTTGTGGCAGAAGTTACTGACTTGTTATAACTGGTGAATGGGACATCAGAGGAAGCAGGAGCACAGTTGGCTGAGACAATGATAATTTGATGATCTTTATAGGATTTCTAATCTTTAGGCCATTTAAAAAAAAAAAAAACTGGGGTGCTAATCACAGGTGGCATTGCAAGAGGGACTTGTGGGTCCCTAAAGTTCAGTTTAATGTGTCCTTAATTCATTACTGTATTAGTAGTCAAGTAGATTTTCCTAGTGTCCCTTACTAAATTTCAGGATTGCTAAGGGCTCTAACACGGTGACTTTCAACCTTGAAAGCATTTTGGAATAAGCTGGGAGAACTCTAAAAATATTCTGAAGCCAGGATGTAACCTTCACAATGTCCTTAATTTGGCTGCACAAAAAAAACCCAGATGGAGCGCTTTTCAAAAGACCCTTAATCTAGACTTATTGCCCAGGTGTTCTAGGGTGAAACCTGGCATTTGTATGTTTTTAACCACCCCAGGTGACTCCAATGTCAGCCAGGCCTGAGAAGCACTATTATAAAGCTTAGTTCTGACTTCAGCACCTCAGACTCATCTGGCAAATTTGTTCACCAAAGTTTCTGAGTGGAGGTCTGAGGTGGGGTCTGGCATCTGCATTTCTAACATCTTCCCAGGTGAGGTGAATGATGTTGTTGACCTGGGAATCTTACCTTGAGAACCATCACACTAAAGAGCTGATGTTTTAAAATTCTTGGTTACACTTACAACTTCAAGACATTTTTTTCTCCTAAAACTTCATTCACTTGCCTTGCAAACATCCCACAAGGGATAAGAAATAACATTGAGCAATAAATAGCAGCCAACACCTACGGAACAGTCTCAGGCACCAGGCCTGCACTAAGTGCTTCGTTACTAGATTCCCTCAATAGCAACATGTGGTGCTACTGTTATTAGAATGTCACAGGTAAGAAAACTTGGTGAATAACTCATGATCACACCACTAACAAATTGAAGAGTCAACCACATGTCATACAGCTTCAAGAACTCTTAATATCTGTGTGATGAATTCTAAGAAATGAACGCTTAATAACACACCAGTTGATTAGCTATAGTTTCTTAAAATTCATCCAAATGTGCATCATGATTTTAATAATAGCTGAAAAACATGCAAGAAAATTCTAGCACAATGTGGCCACCATTACAAGCACGATTCTTAATGTACTGTATAAATCGCACTTGAACTCTACAGACTCTTTGGAATGTAACCCTTTATAAATTATGGTATGAAGCCACAGGCAACACAGGGAAAGATATGTTTTCACAATCTGTCTAGTTTAATGTAAAACTTGGCTTTTCCACTATGAGTGATTTGGGGAAGATGCATGGGAACATTTCTGATTTTCCCTGAATCATCTTGGGCCTTTCATGGGTGGTTGGGGGATGGAGACTTGGCTGGTATTTTAGATTTAGAATTTTGATGTTATCTGCTAATGAATTTCTACATACAATCACCACAGAGAGAGAACTGAAATGAAAACCCATTAAATGTATGGCTATGATTTTTAAATATTAGCATTTAAAATAGCAAGACTTAAATATTATTTTACTTTGCTTTTTACTTTTGAATAAACCAGATGCTGAAAGAAAGGGACCAAGGTGTCTCTTCTAAGGACCCTAAAAATAATATATAGCATCTGTATTCAGGGCGATTTTCATTAGGGTTTATAACAGCTGCCTGGAAAGAGTAAATGCAAATATTCACGATTTTTCTTTTTTTCTTTTGAGAAACACTTTGTATTCTCTTTGAAAGTGCCAGACTCTCTTACACACAAATATATTTTGTTTTTATGTCATAAGTGAATACTTTTTTTAAAGAGAGAGAGAGAGAATTTTTTAATGTTTATTTTTTAGTTTTCGTTGGACACAACATCTTTGTTTGTATGTGGTGCTGAGGATCGAACCCGGGCCGCACGCATGCCAGGCGAGCGCGCTACCGCTTGAGCCACATCCCCAGCCCATGAATACTTTCTTTATAACACAAAGAAGTGTGGTTCTTGAAAAGGGACTCCAGGGTATGACAAGAAAGGCTTGTCACAGTACCTCATTGGCTGGCAAGGGCCCGTCTTTTAATAATGTCCACACTACTTATTTTAGGGATGTTCTGTACATTTATATTGTAAAATCCAGAAAAGGAATTTACATGAGCACATGCTTTGGAATTTGAGGGAGGGAGCACTCATACTTAGTGCCCGTGGAAAACATTACAAGTGGAGCATGTGACATTGCCTTGGCCACCACAGGGCTGGAGACATTAGGATGCTCTAATACGAGGTCACTATGTCTGCAACACGGAAGCAAAGCATTGAACCCTGAGAGAGTTACAGCACCCCTCCATAACAATGGATCGGCTTATTTCACAAATACAGCAAAATGACAGAGAAAGCAGACTGAGGAGAAATGATCAATTGCACAGCCGTGCTTACCTCTGGGACCTGGAGGGATTCGAAGCCAAAAACGAGGCCGCGTGAAGATTTTCACATGGTGGAAAGAGATTTTAAATTTGTGAATTAGGACAAAAATGACAAAGATTGTTTGAGAACATAAATAATAATTTGGGACAGCATCAATGACAAGCAGAGTGACAGCATCTTATTTACATGAAAATGTCCACATCAATGTGACTGACAGGAGTAGCTATGATTCTGTACTAATGGAGTTTTCATCTCTAGAAAGACTTGAAATGCAACTCTCTGGAGAAATATAAAATTCTGGTTGATTTCTTACGGCAAGTGTGCCCTGAATTAATGTGGATAGGAATTCTCTCCATTTAAAAACCTTTTGAAAATTCTGTACTAATTTGCCAAATTTCATAGGCTATGCACAGAAAGGGAATATAAAAATAAACCAAGTGCAAGTCCACCATCTTTGTACTAAGATGCCCTTTATCTGTTCTCTAGAGTGCCTTTTTCGGAGACTGAAGAATATTATGAGTTACCACTACGTTGCTTGATCTTGACCCAGACTCTTGAAAGACATTACTCCTGCCAGCTTCACAGGCACACATCTGTTTCACTCTATAGAGTTAAATTAAATAGCCTTTAACCTTCAAAGGAACTAATGCACTTTATAGGAAGTAGTTAAATAGAACACCGGGTGAAACCCATGGAAAGGTAATGAATATACAATCCCAACAAACAGTAATCAAATCCATCTTTGCCTTTTGTGAGAAGGAGCATATGTTTGCTTAGAAATAGTGTATATAACAACATCTCTTAATTTTTGAACTCACTCATTTTGATTAAAAAGATTAGTCTATCAAACATGAGTCTTCATGATACAGCCTGAGAATAGCTGTATCAGAAGGGCTTAATTTCAGAATAGTTAACTACTTTCTGAATGATGACTGTCAGTACAGTTTAGGTTGCTCAAGGGATGGCCATGCATGAGAAGCTTACCTGGAGGACCTGTGGGCCCTTTTCTACCTGGAGGTCCAGGTAAACCCTTCTCTCCAGGTGGCCCCAGAAGACCAGGTGGCCCTGGAGGCCCTGGAAACCCCATTGGTCCTAAAATAAATGTAAAAATGAGGGCACTAGAATGAAGCAATATGAAGACAATGACATTTGATTGACTTTAGACACCCACTCCAAGAGAGGGTCCCAGAGTAGAGATCAGCCTCATGTCTGTCCATAGGACGGCCAAGAGCTGCCTGTCTGAAGGGAACACAGTGGTCAGTGAGAAGGATGAAGGAGGACATGTCCACGACCAAGATGAAACTGAAGGAGAATGAGAAGCCTGTGACCCTGAACTTTACCTGGTATCAGTCAGATGATTGAACCCAGGGAAAAAAGGGAGAGAGGTTTGATGTTGAGGAGCCAGGTGCCCCCAGCTGGGGGTCCTATCTCCCTCTTGACACTTTCTTAATTCTGGAACCTCCAATGGCTCAATTCTTCCCCTTCCATCAAGTCCTCTTGTTTCTTAGATTTCAGGCCAGGCCCCATCTCCTCAGAGAGGCCCTCTCTGGAATCCCAGCCAAAGCCCAGCAGTTCCCTCTGGGCTCCTGGTTCAGAGCGCTGAGCCTGATTATGGTGTGAATGTCCGTCCTCCATTGGGAAACAGCACTGAATGAGAGTGGAGAGTGGGCTGTTTAAATCTGCGACTGCTGCATTCCTGTGGTGTCTGAAACCCACTGCTCACGTGGTTAAAGTAAACTGAAGGAGCCCCTGGTCTTCTCCACAATGGAGCTCTGTCTGCCCCATGCCCTCTGGGAAGGAAGTGAAGAAGCACACTTGCTGCTTCCACCAATACTCCTAATTCCCTGCAGATCCTTGGGCTGGTCACCATGATTTACGTGGCCTGCTGTTTCCCTGGGCCTAGAGTTTATGTCCAGGTGGAGATTCATTCTGCAGAGTAATAGCTGGGGAAGAAGAGTGTCAGCCAGCCCCCCTCCTCTTTCTTCTGCATGATTAGAACATGTCTGTCCAATTCTGATGTCCAATAATTGGAAACCCACATACTTGCAGATAAGAGCCACATCATCTGAAATTGATTTTATTGCTAATACAGATGAAGAGGGTTGCTGTATAGACGTGCACTGCACAATTTCACAGGTGCCATTTGCACTACCCTCATGGTGGTTTTGATCTTCCCTCTGCCCTAATCTTTGCCATGCTTCACATTTGTGTCAGAAATAAGGCAAGGTGCTAGCTATTGGGTCCCTTGGCCAACATGAGTAGATAGATGCTCTTCTGATATCAGGCTTCATTATTTATGCAATAAAGGAGTTAAAATGTATAATCATTAGTGGTCCTTTTTCAACAAAAAAAAAAGTTCTATGAACTTAGTAGTTCTCTGAAATTTTCATAAAAGCAACTAACCACATATAGGTGCTGTCTGCTGAGCGTTTGAAATATGGCCAGTCCAAACTGGGTTGTGCTAAATGTGTAAAGTACACAACCGACTTCAAAGGCAGGAACAGCAGCTTCATGCAGAAAATAACTAGGGTTGCACAATCAGCTGTGTTATCTCATTGATAATTTCATACTGAATTCATGATTATAAATACTTTAAATTATGCCTGTGACTTATAATTATATTCCCATTGCTTGGTTATGGTCTAGGAGTGACTAAAGAGAGACTTGTATTTTTTTATTTTTACATGTCCAAATGGTACCCAAACTTGGAGACTTTGGGGGGAAGTAAGGACACTTTTGAAATATACTCCCTGTTTCCACAAGAAATAGGAATGACACCATGGAAGGATGATACCCCAGACCCTCAAGAGTAAGAGATGGAAACCCTTCACATACCACTGAAGGAACAGCTTGTATTCATACCTTTTTGGCCCTCTTTTCCATCACATCCTGGAACACCCTGGCACCCTGGAGGGCCTGGGGGACCTGGTGGCCCCGGTGGCCCTGGCAGACCACAGTCACCTGGTTCCCCTCTCAGGCAGTCAACACTCCCAGGAGGTCCTGGAGGCCCGGGTGCACCTGACCACAGGAAGAAGGCAAAAATGTTTCAAAGACAAAGGTGGCTACCTGAAAACTTAAGAAAAGTAATCTAATGATTTGCAAGCAAGGGATACAGGGGGTTAGAAGAATAAGAAAGTCAATATTTTGTCAGAAATGAAATGCAGATTGTGTCTCTTGGAACCCAAGCTGAGAAATGGTGTAGATAATGGGTTAGTAACTGTCAGACAAAATGAATCTAAGCAAAATCTTCTTCCCTTTCAAGGCCATTCCTTTTGGAAATATCATTTTATGGACTTTGTATTATTATCTCACTACTTTAATTGGATGGATGGATGGATGGATGGATGGATGGATGGAAGAATGGGTGAGTAGGTGGACGGATGGATGGATGGATGGATAGACTGGCAGACAGGTGAATAGATAGGCTTTTGACAAAATATCACATCAATTGATACAAAAGGAATATTCAAATTATAATCCTATTTGAAAATTAGTGTCTGCAAATAGGAAAAAAATCAACCCAAATTCTTTCTCCACTTTGTTTCTATATTTCTTAGCAGTTTTTCTTGCTTTTATTTTTATCAGCACACAGTTCCACCTTCACTAAATCCTAAAGATTCCAAGATGGCGGATCTGTGTGTAGAATAGCTCTAGCAGGGAGTATGAATGTGGCTGTCGGCACTGGGCAAGCCATGAGACTGAGCCAACCAACTTTGTCAGTTAATAATAACTTCCAAAGGCTTACACTGCCCGAGCTCATCCCTGTTAAATGGCGAGAGGAACAATATGCACTGTTAGATACCCATAAGGAAACATTTCTGGGTGTACAAGAGGCCAGGGTCCTGCCACTCTGGGCCAGTGGACAGGTGGTAGAAACCAACAAGGAGCATGTATTTCCCTCCTACTGGGCACTTCTGAAGACTCATGGGCAGCATCATGCTAGTAATGAGAAATGCTTACTCTGCATCAGTTTGTGCCTGGGCAGAGGTACCTGATAGGACTGACACAGAAGAGTGAAGGGACCTACATTCTGGGCCTGAATAAGTCCAATATCCACAATCCCACCCAAGTAGGTCCCATTGATCGGACTGCCTAGGTGCTTGTGCTCTGCCATTCTCTCATCCTAGAGCCCTGCTGAGCTGGTTGCATCTAATGAAGGGAGAAGTCCCATCCTTCACCATGATGCTGTCATACCTCTTGCACCATCAGGGCCAGGAGGTCCCTGATCTCCAGGTGGACCTGGGTCAGGAATGTCACCCTTAGGAGGTCTTCCTGGAACGCCTGCTGGACCAGGTGGTCCGGGTCTCCCTGCATAAGCACATGTTTACACATTAGCCTCATTGCATTTGAAAGGTTTTGAATTAATGACTTAAAAAGGGACTAAAACATGCTGCTTCTTACCTGGGGGACCTGGGAGACCTTTTTCACCAAAAAGGCCAGGAGGAGAAATTCCTGGGCTTCCAGGGTCTCCTGTCTCCCCTTTTAGCCCAGGGAGTCCCACTGGACCGGGTGGGCCCATTTCATGTAAACCTTAATAGGGAAAACAGCATGAATATGTCCTGATCTTACTTGTCCTTGTTATGGTACTTGACAAGGAACCACTTCCTAAAAGTGGCTGGTTCTGCAGAGACCAACCTCTGGCTGCAATGGTACTTCTAAATGGTGACCTGGATCATCATTTTCTCTAATGACCCAACACACTGGTCAACCACAAATTTGATTTCTTTTATGGTTATTTCCCAGATTAAAAAAAAAAAAAAAAAAGAATAGGTGAGTGAGAATACTAACCTTCCAACCTTTACAAAGGACAAAGCAAAACCAAATGAGGTGCAATAATAAGTAATTATGGGGCTGGGGTTTTAACTCAGTGGTAGAGTGCTTGCTTAGCATGTGTGAGGCACTGGGTTAAATTCTCAGCACCACATATAAATAAATAAAATAAAGATCCATTGACAACTAAAATAAATAAATAAATAAATATGGATAAACTTCTTTGAAATTTGAATGGAAGGTGACATCTAATGAGAACTATGGTAGTATGGAGTTTCTCAGTGAGAAGGGAGCACATCATTGATTTCCTGGAAGAGACACAGATCTAATTAGGCTATTTGGAAGAGCCACTAAATACAAGTGACATAAATTGCTTTTCTTTTTTTCTCCGTTTTTAAATATATTTTTAGTTGCTGGTGAACCTTTATTTTATTTATTTATATTCGATGTGCCTCACACATGCTAGGTAAGTGCTCTAACATTGAGCCACAACCCTGCCCTTAAACTACTTTTCAATTTTCACAATAAATAAAGGTGTTGTCTCTCCAAAACACTTAGCAGCACAAGTCGCCTTTCCCCATAGTCTCTCAAATCTACATGCTGAGTTACAGTTTCAATTATACTTTGATTATACTTTTTTTCTGACAAACTGACACAACCAATGTGTATGATATGAGAGGAACAATCTAAAACACAGCTGTTGAAGATCAGCCTCTCTGTGATATCCAAAATAACAGCAAATAGTTCAGGTAATGTTTTTTGTTTGTTTGATTCTTTGTTTTAGTCATGGCAGTAAAGGAATGTTAAAAGTGCTAATTAGATCCACATGGCTGTATGAGACACTGCTGTAGTTAAAATTATATAATTTTTTTTTTAAAAGCCCAGACTTTGTTTGTTATTCACAGTACTTTGTAATCAGCCCCACGTAGGCAGTTATTTTTAGTGGAGAAACAAAATAAGACCAACACAAGGCATTACTAACCTCCTTTCTGAAGTAGATTTTCTTAAATCCTTTTATATGTCATCCTCAGCCCTAGAAATAGCTCTCATACTGTGTCTCTCTCAGCTATGACAGATTTTCAGTTTCACTCCCAAATCTTATGGAGTGAGAAACTACCCAGGAGGGTTCCACTTAATCTCAAGGCCACCCACAGAAGCTCGGATTCCTGAAGATGGTTTTTTAATCTTACCTGAGGCACCTTTGCTTCCTTTCTGACCCTTCAAACCATGCAAACCGTCCAGGCCAGGAGACCCCGAAGGACCTGAAAAACACACCAGCCCTGTGTACGGAGGGCAAGAGCAGCCCCTAATACCAACCTTAGTCACTGCCCCAACACTGCCCAGCAGAGGGCATAGAGCAAGGTGGACATCTCACACTCTGAAGGTCATTATCAGGGTAGGACTCCTCCGGGCGATGGTTACTTAACACATTCATTTGCAGGTTTGTAGCACAACAGCTTAACATGTTTCCTTGGTTTTAAGGCACCCTGTCGGGTTATAACCATATCATGATCAGCTGCAGTCCAGAATTACTGGCTCTTGGTGTAGGAAGTAATCTTTGAGTTAATGACAACAAAATCATTCTAAATGAGGAAAGAGACTGGATGGGAGCCAATACATGCCTCCTACCTCCAGGGCTTGGCCTTTCCAACCAGGATCCGAAGGTCCTCCTGCCCAGTCATGCTATAAAAAAGTCAACAGGGTATCTGGCCACTATGGGACAATGGGGCATATGCGTCCTCCCTGGCTTTATTTTAAGCATTGCTGCTCTGGAACAACAGGCCTGCAGGTCAGATTTGTCTGTAGCTTTTTTTTGTAACCAGTTCTTTCAAAACCATTCTGACTCCTTTTTACAACAACCAAATTTACTTCATGATGATCATCAAAATCTCCAGGCTCTGAAATTAGACATTATCCCAGAGATGCCAGAGCCATCTCTCAGAACCTTCTGTCGGGCATCCATACAGTCCTTACAGCAGAATCTACCAGCCAAGCTTCACTTCGGCCATCACTGAGCTCTTCCAGTGGAAGCGTTTTCCTTAAGATTTTCCACCAACACAGTTTGAGTGTGTCTGACCTCCCCCGGAGGGGTATCTTTTCAAATGCAAGTTTCCTAACTGCCCAGCATAGAGTTGGAAGAGGAAGAAGAAGAAAGGGCAGAAAGGATGGAGAAGAAAAGTGAGAGGAAGGGCAAGTGACCAGTACCACAGAGCACTGCCCCAGGGCTGAGCCCCGCCGAATGCCACCCCTCATGTCTTACCCCACTGATGACTGGGAAGACAGGCTTCTCCTCAGGGCCTGGCCACATCTGGTCACCTGCCTATTCCATTGGTGGAGCTTCCATCCATTTTCTCCCCATCCTGTTCTTTCTCACCCAATACTAAGCAACTCCACATACAACCAGCCATTCACTTAGTATAGAGAACTCATCTCTCAAATTTGGGACAATAACACCCCTCAGTTTATATAACTGAACATACACAAGCACCGTCGCCTCCACCTGTGAACCTACATGGGGTGCCCTGATCAACTACACCTGTGCAGGGCTGTAGGACAGTCTCCCCACCTAAGGGTCAATCAGGGTGTAAGGCCAAGTCCTATTAGTCTTTCTGCCCCCACACTTGGTATATTTTCTGGCACACAGTAGGTGTTCATAAGTGTTTGTTGAATGACTGCATTAATGAGAAAATGTGGACCAAGGAGGTCAAGGGATTGAACAGGTGAGAGGAAACCACATTTTTAAAAAGTGGCCTAGACTTTCTATTTGCTTGTCACTTCTTTCTTTGATACATTTATAGGATACGTATGATTTGGAGATCCTGGAGGAATCCATTTGTACGTACATAAGTTGAGTGCTGATTATTATCTGTCCATTAAAGCAGGCCCTCCCTCTGAGGACTTCTTACTGGAGAGTGGCAGTTAGTCCCCTCCTTTCTATTTATCCCAGTACTTGAAACAGACAGTTGTTTTTCTCTTTTTAAGATCTCAACATTAGATGGATTCAAGTGAGTTATATTCTCTGGCACCGAAAAAATGGGAATGCATCTTTATTTTCCCTTGATCTCTTATTCCTAACCATTTTTAACCAGCTCTGGCTTAGTTTATTTTCCAATCCTCTTTCCTGTTTTATGAGCCAATATTTCAAGTTTGCACCAAAAGAACACAATGACCTTCTTCATCTGCCAAATCTGGATATTTGTTGCAATCTATCTGAAATGATAATAAATTTTTTGAGACCACTTTGCTATTTCCATGTGTTTTGATCTCCAGCTTTCACCACTGAGATTGATGGCTTGGGGGACTTGGCTAAGGGTGGAATGTCCCAGCCTCTGCCAACTCTCCATTGTCACATCAACACATCCAGATCCCGCGTTGTTGTCACAGCCCAGCCCCTTGCCATTGTTGAACTGGCCGACCCTTATCTGACCTAATGTTATCTTTCTAAATTGAATGCAGCTACATCTGGGTAGGGTTTTAAGGGTAATTTTTCCTTTTGACTGAAAGCTTTTTATCCATCCCATCTCTAAATCAGAAAGTTGTTCATGCATAAAATATATACAGTGCAGATGAGAGGCAATTAGGCTAACAAAGCACATTCCTGGGTAATGAGGAATTTTTATTCACCTCTCTGATGGTCCTGTCCTTTTGCTTAACAGCCATCATTTAAGGCTGCATTGAGTTGCACTCACTATACAGGGTGCTCTTCCTCTAGCCAGTAAACCTCATCTCCGCTCTCGCACAGTTGGCCACCCATCTGTCCTAGCCAGCCCCCTCTTTGTGACTGGATTCCCACTCTCAGGTTATATTTTTGTTCTCAAGCCTGAAAAGTCGGCACCCCAGGAGCCTGCTACTGGTTTACATTTCTAATAGGGTGTCCAGTGTTTCCCTGCTAGCCTGGGACTTTCCTCAGGGTAATACCAGACGTTCCACACCCTAACATAACCCTCCAATCCCAGGCACAAAGGGAGAGCTGGCCACCCAGCTGATGGGAAGGAGGGAATTTCATGACTATGGGTAATGACTGAAGAAACTTGAATACTCTTATCAAAAATAATACTGCAATGAGATTAAAAAAAAAAATTTAAAGAAATTCATCACATGTAGGAATGTCTTCTGAGGGCACAGATAAGGTTTCCTACTGCACCGAGCTTCAGCAACCAAATGTGTCTCATGACATACTGATGGGAAGGTGGGAAGCAAGAGAGAAATAATACCTGTTGTGACAGAACAAACAGGCAATGACATCGGTGTGGTGAGTGCTGCAGGGGTGGGCAGGAGGGTAACAATCTAGCTGTAAAAAGGAGGGACATTTCTACCCCAAGGCACATAGTATTGCTTTCCTGACAAAGGACACTTCAGAATGCTTTTTAAAAGTGAAATGCATGTACTTGCCACAAGCCAGAATACCCAATCCACACTCTTTATAATGTTGTTAGTCTACAAATAATTCTCTTTAGGTTTCCATCATGACAACTTTACATTCATACCCCATCCCAAAATGGGGTGTTTTAGAGGGAATATGTACTCAAAAATTAAAATCTCGGAATCAAGCCACTTTTAGCATATGCTTAAGTTAAAGTTTAAATCTGATTGAACACAAGCAGGACTCCAAATCCATATGGCCTGTTCTAGCAGAGCAAACAACTTTGAGTTCAGCAGCTGGTTTGTTCAAACAAGATAATCAGTCCCCCTGACTTATTTAGAACATACTTCAAATATTTAGTTTCTCAGTTCAAAGTGTTTCTGCCGGAGTGTGGTTCATTTTGATATCAGCGTGATCGACTGCAACTGTGGGTTTGCACTGTAGCTGTTTTAACCTTTAGGAATGTATTTCACTGTTTTGTTTTGTTTAGACGATGGTTCCCTGGGCTGTCAGCAGTGAAACAGTGTCACTACATGGCCAGGAAGCACCACTGCAGCTGCTCCCGTCACCCCTCACTGTCTCCTCTAACAAACTCATCGATTTACGACGCAGAGATTACTTCTCATGAAGATTTGTTATGGATCAATTCATCAGCTATTAGTCTTTTAGTGACATGTGATGTTGAAGTTGTGTGATAAATGCAAACTAAATCAAGGTAAAAAAGAATCAACAACAGTAGCATGAGTCTTGTCATTTTGGTGACACTGGGTATATATTATGAGAGTAGGAAGGAGTGGGAATTTGGTAGAAGTGGTTAATAATGGGAAGTGTTTTCTTTCTTTTAAACTTCTTTACAGACATAAACACAAAAATAATCAAGGAATACCCCATAAGGGCTATAGGGGACGGGAGGGGGCATGAGGTAGGAAAGATGGTGAAATCAGACGGACATGATTACCCCCAAGTACATGTATGAAGAAACGAATGGTGGGACTCTACCTTGTGTACCACCAGAGAAATGAGAAATGGTGCTCCATTTGTGTACTATGAATTGAAATGCATTCTGTGTCATGTATAACAAATTAGAATAAATTAATAAACAGTATTATCATTTTGTTTGAAACCCTAAATTCGTCACCAATCTCTGGACCTCCCATTACTGAAAATGTCAACGAAGAGGCAGAAGAGTGTCAAGTTGTCCAGTGACCGGGAGCCTTCCTTGTCAATTTATTTTGCCGTGTAGAAATACACAACTTGTATCAATGCATCAAAATAGCTTCCTTGTGCAGTCTTGCCCCAGGGAATACATACCACACTACCACTCGCTGAAAATTTGGAATTATTTGGAAGCTATTCCATAAATGAAGAGGAGAAAAGATGGAAGAACAGAATTTGGATTTTCAAAACAATAAAATGGTTAATCCTAGAACTGGTGGTGTCCACTTTCCTGAGAGGAGGCCCTTTCTACTTTACTAACATTCAGTGTATGTGTAAGTCAGTGAGCAGAAGGCAGGTGGGAGAGGAGCTGGAGGAGACCCAAAGCTTCCCTGCAGGAAGTCAGCAGGTAAAGCTTTGACCTTCAACCTCACTGCTACTAACTCAGGGGCAGAGTCTTGGGTTTGTCTATTTGTTTACTCATACTGCCAACCAAATACTTTTTTTTAAATAGGTCTCTACTGGGTACCAAAAATACAAAAAAAGGTCTTGCTTTTAAAAAATCATCTATTTGGTAAGAAAAGCCTCTAAGCAAACAAATAGATACAATGTATATTTAGCGTTGTAATGGATACAACACTAAAGGTGTGCATGAAGTACATATGGAAAAGTGCCTTTTCTAAAATAAACGAAATGACCTCAAAAATAGAAGCTTCATGGATAAGTGAGCAGTCATGAAGATCTGTTAATAACAATACATTATATTATTGTATATTATTTACAGATTTGCACTGGTCCTCTATTACTTTAAAAGGCCAAATATTTCCACCAGGAACAATTTTTCTTTATCTAACAAAGATAATGAATACTGGTTACTCTTTTTCCATAACACCTTAGTCTTTTCCTCCCTCCTCTTATCACAATTGGCAAATATATATCTATTTACACATATTTTTAATGTCAGCCTCTTCTACTAGATAACAAGTCCCATGGAGGCTGAAACTTGAACCCAGTAGCAAGATCCTCAAAACTGCAGGCCCAGCATCCAACACATCAAGAGCATAACAGGAGCTCAACTGTCCTGTGGTAAGAATAAAAGGGTAGACTGACCATAGTGAAAAACACTGGATGGATGCCTAGAAGTGAGATGGCTGTACCCTGCTGTGGACATGCCCTGGTGGAGGCAGGTCAAGGTCAAGATGGGTACTGCCTCCGGCCCCGTGGGAAGAAGAGCAAGAGGTGCTAATGAATCTGCTGTTGTTGGGCTGGATCTGTCTGATGGGCTGGGCCTATTTTGACTTACCTTTTATTCCTGGAGGTCCTGGTAGCCCTGGATCCCCCCGGAGACCTGTGGACCCAGGCTCTCCCATTTCTCCTGGATGGCCCTTCTGCCCAGGCATCCCCTGATCACCTGAGGACAACAGGGAAGTTCTGCAGACACCCCAATGATGTATGATGACATTCACTGGGGAATCATCTACATTTTTAATTCCTGGGTAACCAGGAATATTTTCCTAAGTTTCCTTCCTAGATATCTGAACTCTAAGGAGAAAAATTAACAACTTAGGAGAAGATACACTTCAAGATGATTGAAGTTACCATTTATGATTTTAAACTTGCCCCCTTTCCCCTGAATTGACAGGAAATGGATTATTAAAACGCTGGGCTGTAAATGTGGTGTTTGCCTTGGGTCCAAAACAGGGGGCGGGGACAGCATTGTGAGTGGCAGGTGACAGGAGGAGAGAGGGAAAGAAGCTGCCTTTGTCAGACCACCCCCGGTACGGGTGCCATGCTGTTGTCTTGGCTACTCCCAGTGACCCAATTAGAAGGACCAACTTCATAGGTGAGCAGTAGGTGAGTTTTAGTGGCCTTGTCTAGAAGCTCAGACTGGGAATCAGAAGAGCCACATGCAAAAAATGAGTAACAATCCCTAAAGTATGTGAAGACTGACTCTCTCGAAACACCAAGAGATAAGGAGCGCTCAGGAAGTTTCCCTTTCAAGGTACCTGGACACCCTGGTGGTCCCAACGAGCCAGGCAGGCCTGGCTTTCCTGATGGTCCTTTCAGTCCTTGAACTCCAGGCAGGCCTTGATGTCCAGGGGCTCCAACATGTCCTAAAGAAGAAAGGTGGAAGCCTGAGTAGCTGCAGGTGGTCTTTGAGACATTGAATCTATTAAATAGCCAACCGCACCCCTAGCTATTCTTTTCTATATTTAAATCTTATATTAAATCTTATATACTTTCTAATATTTAAATTTTTCTGCTGAAAGATTACATTAAGGAGTAATGGAAAGCAAAATGCCCATAATTCAACCACCTTAACAGAGTTTTCCGTATGTATATGACATGAAAATAATACCCACAATTTTACATTCTGAATTTTTAAATTACCGTTATAAGTAATTTTTCAAGTTTGTCATAGTCCTCTTAATTACCATTTGTAAAAGCTGATAGCTTATTGATTTAATGTTAATTAAATTAAGTAATCTAATTTTCTCCTGTTGTTGGACATTCAAGTTATTTCTAACTCTTTGCTATTATGCCTGTTGATCTTTATACATCTTCCTTCAATTTTTCTCCTAATCAATTATTTCCTTATGAAAAATTCCTAGGAGTAGAATTTCTAGGTAAATAGGGTGATATTTTGGCTCTTTAAATACCAAAGTGTTTAAGAAAAAATCACAGTCTTTATGGAATTCCAACTCTAAATACTTGAGAAGTTAAGCCTGAAACATTTTCTTACATGGCAAAAATAACATTATCACAGCCAAAAAATTAATGACAATTCCTAATATCATCTTATGCTCTTTTTTTTTAATTTTTTATTGTTGGTTGTTCAAAACATTACATAGTTCTTGATATATCATATTTCACACTTTGATTCAAGTGGGTTATGAGCTCCCATTTTTACCCCATATACAGATTGCAGAATCACATCAGTTACACATCCATTGATTTACATATTGCCATACTAGTGTCTGTTGTGTTCTGCTGCCTTTCCTATCCTCTACTATCCCCCCTCCCCTCCCCTCCCCTCTTCTCTCTCTACCCCCTCTACTGTCATTCATTTCTCCCCCTTGTATTATTTTCCCCTTTCCCCTCACTTCCTCTTGTATGTACTTTTGTATAACCCTGAGGGTCTCCTTCCATTTCCATGCAATTTCCCTTCTCTCTCCCTTTCCCTCCCACCTCTCATCCCTGTTAAATGTTAATCTTCTTCTCCTGCTCTTCGTCCCTACTCTGATCTTAGTTACTCTCCTTATATCAAAGAAGACATTTGGCATTTGTTTTTTAGGGATTGGCTAGCTTCACTTAGCATAATCTGCTCTAATGCCATCCATTTCCCTGCAAATTCTATGATTTTGTCATTTTTTAATGCAGAGTAATACTCCATTGTGTATAAATGCCACATTTTTTTTTATCCATTCGTCTATTGAAGGGCATCTAGGTTGGTTCCACAGTCTTGCTATTGTGAATTGTGCTGCTATGAACATCGATGTAGCAGTGTCCCTGTAGCATGCTCTTTTTAGGTCTTTAGGGAATAGACCAAGAAGGGGAATAGCTGGGTCAAATGGTGGCTCCATTCCAAGCTTTCCAAGAAATCTCCATACTGCTTTCCAAATTGGCTGCACCAATTTGCAGTCCCACCAGCAATGTACAAGTGTACCCTTTTCCCCACATCCTCGCCAGCACTTGTTGTTGTTTGACTTCATAATGGCTGCCAATCTTACTGGAGTGAGATGGTATCTTAGCTCATTCCATACTTGGACCTGTAATGTTCTTCACAGTTGGTTTGTCCACATCAAGTTCCATGCCAAGATCACAGATTGCAACTAGTGGATATTTCTCTTAAATTTTAAAAAATCTGAAACAGTCCCCTATGTATGACAGTGAGCTGCTGAAGAGAAAAGCTGAGATCCTCTCTTGTCTATTATTATTATTAATTTATTTATTTTTTGCAGTACTAGGGATTGAACCTGGGGCCTCCCACATGCTTAGGCAAGGGTTCTACCACTGAGCCACATCTCCAGTCCCTTTTTTTTAAAAAAAAAAATATTTTGAGGCAGGGTTTTGCTAAGTTTCCCAGGCTGGTCTCAAACTTGCCATCCTGCTGCCTCAGCCTCCTGAGTAGCTGGGATTTGCAAATGCATGCTACTGTGCCCTGCTTGGGGTCTTCCTAAATAGACCATTCAGCATCCGATTCTTGACGGAGATTCCCTATGGTTTGAAGTGGGGTGCTCACGTACTCAACCACCACATGTCACTCATCCACAGCTCTGGAACCGGATTGCCATGAGCACACCATGTTTCTACTGGGGACCTTTCGTTAGTTGGCTTATTTTCTTGGCAATTTAGTAAGAATAAAATGACACTCAGACACTTTAAAGGACATTTCTTTGGTTACAAGAGTATGACTATTTGCTCATGTGTTTATTCATGATATAGGACTTTAATTCATGTTTGCAGGTTGAAACAATCGTCTGTGCTGAAAACCAATGGCCAAATCTGTAGACAAGCTCAGCTCTGTACTCACAAACCCATGGGGGTGTAATCTTTATGTACTACTGTAGGAGTAACTTTCGGTTTGCAGCTAGCCGCTGTAAGCAGCTCAGAGTGCTTGAAAAACCTACAGGAACTCCTGCAGGATGGGGCTCTGTGCTCTAGCAAGCCCTCTGAGAAACCACATCCTTAGTGACTGAGGTCAGTATTGCCAGGGAACCGAGAGGCAAGGGCCTCAGGACATGATTCCCACAACTCATAAGGCCCCCTCTCATAGGGACAAAGAGCCTACCAATCTACCTTCCACCGCGTAACAATATTTAGAGCTTCCTCATAGTGCGGTTACATTAATCATAAGATGATTGGCTTCTAGATGTTGTATAAGCTGCTTTGCTTGTGTATGATTGGAGGATTCGCCCTACCCAAGCCCAATATCAGTTGTACTCATTTCCACAATAAATGAGCTTGCTTGGAGGTCGGCTGAGGCCTGCCACCTGCCTGTTCTCACCAGCTCTGTGTCCCCCACACCCGCTGCAACTGAGGTAGCCGAGTGACCTACAGCAGCATCTGGCACCCAAAGTCTGCTCCCAGCTGCGCACCTTGGGGCTGGTCACCCCGTTGACCTCGGGTAGGGACCCCTTCCCTGTTCCGTGTGCTGACGGTTCCTTTAAGGTGAGCAAGGAACCCCTCTCTTACCCCCTTTCCTTGTCCTTGTAGAGCCTTGGCTCCTGAGTTGAGGCATCCTCTGCCATAAAGGTTGGCATCACCTATGGCTGTTCCTTCCCCTTGGTTCACCTGGTAAATTCACATAAGGGATTGATCCTCCCAGAAATCGGAACCTCGATTTTCTCTATTGCTCTGGAGACACCATATGGACATACGGCCTTGACCTAGCAAGTCAAGGAAGTCCCCACTAATCACAAGACATTGGATCCTAAACACACTCTTGTTTGTCCTATCTAGGGGCTTCCATGTCTGAATCATCCCCTTGGGCTCCTGTTGTGGGTATCTTGATCCTTATGGGTGGTTGTCTTAGTGTGACTTTGTTCATACTTGAGAGACTCCAGGAGGCCTCTAATAGGTCCAGTAACCAATCATGGGCAACCTTCCCCCTGTACAACGAGTCCCACAACTAGCAGCTCTGAAAGCACTGCTTTCTCAGCGTGGACTTAAAGTGAAACCAAAAGACCCTGATCACTTCTGGCAGAAAGCTGTCTTTTTAGCACCTTGGATTGGCCTCGAAAACATATGGATGAGAGTCTTACACTCTGCAAGGAAAAAGGAGGTCCATGAGGGACACATTCCCCCCTGCCTCTTTCATACCGATCCTTCTAGCCATCATTGCCAGCCTTCAAGGCTCTTCAGCAAAAGATACCATTCAAACGCATAATGATTCTTTGGAGGACAAAATAAGGACTCTCCAGACCTCTGCCTCCAGTGTCATTGATTCAGATGAGGATAATGACTCAAGAGAGGATGACCCTGATGTTTCACAGTGTCCTGTGGCAACCTCTCTTCCCTTGTCCACCTCCCTTGCTCAGAAATATCCATGGAAAGAATTACACTCCTGCGCCAAGGAGAGACACCCTTTAAGGCCCTCGACCCCTTATCAACCCCCATATTCCCCTTGTAACCCCTTTTCTGCCTACCCAGTGAATCTTGGTTGCGATGCAGAAAATAGACCCTGGGTGCCTACTCCTTTACCAGATCTAGCATTACTGAGTCTGGGCCTGACTCTCCTTACTTTGAGGAGGTGTTAAAGCAATGGTCAGCCCAATTACAAACATCTTTTGATTGGATGAACTTTCTTAACTAGTTAAGAAGTTAAGGAATGCTTAACTCGTCCACAATATTTAGTGTGGAAAGCTTCCTTCAAGGAGAAGGCAGAACAAATGGCGAGGAACAACCTCTCCTATGCATTGCCATCACTTTAGACACGTTGATTGGTCGTGGTACCTTTGTGAGCCCTCAAGAAAAATCCAGAATTGGAAATGTCATTTACTTTGACCAAGTTAAAGATATTGCCCTGAAGAGTCTTAAAAACATCATACCTCCAAAATATGAACTCTTCAGAAACCTGATCCAGAGTCCCCATGAGTGGTTTCCTGACTTTTTTGTCCCAAGTCATTGAAGCAGTTGAGAAGCTTATCCAACCTGGCCCTGTTCAAGATTCGCTAATCAAACAGTTGGCATGGGAGGGGGCTACAAACGAAACTAGGACTGCAATTGCCTCCGTCTGCAGTGAATCCCTCTTTAAGTGGATCTCTGCTACTAAAGAAGTAGCCCCTTCCTCGGGGCCCATTCAGGCTTTAACAGCTGCTATCAACAGCTACTAATAGACAAGAACAATGGACCTTCCCAACGGAGATCCATCCCATTTGCTGGGGCTGTAATCAGCCAGGCCACATTAAATGGTACTGTTCTAAGAATGGCAGCCACCCTGGCCCCAAGACACCTTGCCCTAGATGCAAAAAGGGTTATCACTGGGCAAAGGACTGCAAACTCAAGCCTTTAAATTCCCCCTCGGGGCAACCCTCAGCCCTACCAATAAGAGGGAACAGACGCCTGCAAATTTGCTGTACGCCACCCATTTTGGACACCAAACCCAGAATGA